TTTTTTTTTTTTTTTTTCTTATGCATTTTAATTTGTTTTGGTATAATTATTAAGTAATATCTATTGATATTTGTAAATTTTATTTTTTGTCATTTTTCATTTTATTGGACAACCGATAATCGAACCAAAAAAATCGATAAATTTTCGGTTTGAAACCGAACCGAACCGTAGTTTTCGGTTCGGTTTTTTATTTTGATACTGGACATGCGAATTTTCGGTCGGTTCGGTTCGGTTTTGACCCAATGTGCAACCCTAGTAGTAGCAATTCACAATTTAAACCGTAAATAGAGGACCCAACTATTTTTTATTTTTATTTTTTCATTTTTTGATTGAGCTCAATATATAATCAAAAGCCGTATAATTCTAGTCTAAAACGTATCACATACTCAAAGCAAAATGTTTCACGAGGCACTCGGATGGCTCATTCAATTCAATCTCACACGTCTGGAACATTATCTCATTGGACAATGAGCACAAAATAAGCTAATTCAATTCATCTCACACATGTGAAACATTATCTCACTGGGCAATGAGCATAAATAAAATAAGCTACGCCTTATCCATCTCAGATAAAAGTTACTCTCGGAGAACCAAACCTCACTGCAAAAGCAAAAGTGTTTCAAACACATTTCGCCTTTGTCATTATGCCATTGTACATGAATGAATGCACATGCTCATATGCAATTAATCCTTCTTTTAGCAGACTCGATATCAGCAAGAGGTTTAAACCAGCAAAAGGTTTACAACTCCGTATGACTACAGCTTTTGTATTACAGACAGCCGGCTTAATTCGACTATAATTCATTTGCCGAACTGAACTCAATTTTGTTAAAACCGTTGTATTATGGCTCTAGTTCAGTCTCCACCGAGTTCAAGTTGTTATTCAAGATATACCTGCGGCTAACTGAACTTGCATTTATGGGGCAAGTTTGTAGTTGCGCATCAAAATCAACTCAATGAAATTACCACGCACAAAACGCGATCCGAAAAGTTCTACATAACAATATTCCAAAAACACAACTTATAAGGCCACAAACATTATACCACAAAACAAACTTCCCCCTAATATGGCACTGAGACATCTGCATTCAACTCCTCTTGTTTCAGTAGCTATAAGCTCTGAATTTTAATTAGAGTTCTTTAGGACCCACTCAACAAGGGTATGAACTCCAAATCCAGTTGCGTTTTTCTTTTTATCGTTCCAAACTGGGCCAGCCATGTCTATGTGCATCCACTGCACCTTCTCATCCACAAACTGAAAAAAAAAAAAAAAAAAAAAAAAAAAAAA